TACACTACCTAGTGAAAAATTGCCATATAAAGTTAGAAAAATTAAAAAAGAAAAAACAGTTTGATAGAAAGCAAATAAGACATATTAACAAATATAGAAATAAAATTTGAAGATCAAACTACAAGTTAGTCGAAATACATAAAGGCTACATGCTGTTTGGTTGGACCGTTGACTCACCTATGCCTGTAGAAAAGAACCCAAGCTGCCTGGAAACGACTGAACAGGAAGGGAAACAATCAGTATGTCTTTCAGGATGGATAAAGTATGAGAGAAGGGAGAAGATGTAGGGGCCAGTAGGAAGGAAGAAGGATTGGTCAAATCAACTTTCTGTAAGAAAAAAATGAAACTTAACATATACTTACGGGAAAACTGCCATTGTTGCCAGCTTGACATAAACATCCTTGTCAGTATGCTGTGGAGTGCCTGTAGGCGAGGCAGCGGCAGAAAACAAATGAGGAGGTGCCAATTTGTGTCGAGAACAAAATTCATCAGGTTGAACAATGTAATCTTGTCTAACTGGTGGGAGATCACTTTTACTTGCCACCACTAACACTGGTACTTTACTTCCTTGGAAGTAACGCTATGAATGAAACAAATGATTGCTCTTAAAAATCTGTAAGTCTTGTAAGGCACAAGTGAAAAAAGATAGAAACTGACCATGTAGATTTCAGCAACATATTCAAAGGATTTTGGGTGGTTTCCATCATACAAAAGGCAAACAACATCGCAAAGGGTATCCTCAGTCATTAGGGGATCAGCCACATTCTTAACTTCTACCTCTCTAAGAATGAGTTGCTTTTCTTGGCCATAAACCAAAACAGAATTAATTGTGAGTCTTGAGGAAGCAGTGTCTTGCTTTGATTGCTTTCCAGTCATCTGAATTTAAAAAAATTATTTCAGTAATCATTTAAACAGAAAAGAGGCAATTATAGTGAAAACAGGAAAGAATTCATACTTACATCTAATGTTTGTCCTATATGAAGACCACAGAAGGTAGACTTTCCAGACTTTTGGTGACCAATAACATTGCACTGATACACATTTCGACTAGATTGCTTTTTGGCTAAGTCCAAGCTTTTTTCTCTTGTGACTGAACAAGACACAAAACATGTAGGATGGATAAAGATGAAGTGTTTACTTACTTTCAATAATCAGACAAAACGTACCATGAATAGCATTTGCGTGACTTTCATTTTCAATAATGTTGTAACCTAAATACCCAAGGTGCTCCAAAGCAAGAGGAAGGTCAAGGAGAGTTATCAGAGACCAGTATGACATGAAGCCCTGCAAGGTCATCCATCCCTGAGGGAAATTTGGAGATTAGTTCAGGTTGTGACTTAATATTGATTGAATATTGGCAAAACTGTTTAACCTACTCTGGAATTGGAAGCAACAGTTTTTCCAAAGTCTGAGCGCCAAGGTGGGGAAGGACAAGGCATAAAAAGAGCATTCATTTCAGAGGATGAAAGTGCTCCATCACGATCCTTGTCATGTCTCTCAAATAACTTTTGGAGAAAGTGCTGTCCCCTGTGGTTTAACTCTGATGTGCAGCCATGTGGAACCCGAACACTACCATAGAAAATTTGATGCACATAAGAATTTGATGATATAGAGCATCTCACAAAATTTTCCATCCATGCCTGTTCTTACCTAGGTACTAAATAATCTTTGGTCACTCTAAGAGAATCATTATATCCAAACTTACGAAGAACTGTCCAAACAGTTTCATTACGCCCTCGTTGAATAAATAAGCAATGCAAGAAAAGGAACCCTACAGAGATAAGATTAAAATAATACATTAAAAATAAAAAAATAAAAAACTTATTCCCTACAAAATTTATTATTTCAAACCTTTAAGTGTGATGCAATTATTGTGTACTCCATCACCAATATTTTTGCTAAGAACTGCCTTTACATCTTCTAAAACCTGAGGTTGCAGTGGAGCATTAAAGCAACGCTTTTGGAAGACATTGAGTTCAGTGTCAGATAGTAAACCATCATTGTCTAAATCACAAATCTGTAAATGAAAATGTATCAATATATTTATGAAAAAACACATAAAGTTAATAACTAAACAGTAAGTGCTTTCATGAGTCTCCACCTTAAATATTCTGGTAAGGGCTTTCTTACATTCTTCAGTCAGCTGTTGGAACATAAGAAATATTATATAAACTTTAAAAACAATGTGAAAACAAATAAGCTGCTTACTGACAATGCAACTGCTTTGCACATAAGGAAGTGCATTCTAGTATTCCGTGATAAATAATTTAAAAAAACTTTTATTAGATCACCATATTAGTTACTTGATTTTTACTTACATCCTGGCTTTCCAACACATAGAGTGGACCAGTCGGGTGGAGAACAGCCTTTTGAGCATAGTAAAACATTTCTGAGATGTTTTTCAAAGTGCGGGCGGAGCACTGCATAATGTTACAAATTTGTTAATAAAAAGTCAAAAGTTGACATTAAAAAATTAACTTGAAATAGGTTTACCTCAACACAGCTCTCAATCTCTGGGTACTCTTCCATAATATTCATTACCATCTAGAAAAACATGAAGAAATAAAATAGATACAGTCCACATCCTTACAAGGGAAAAAAATTGGAGTCACTAATTGGAGACTCACATCTATAGTAGAATAATCT